TAGAAGGGGCCTGATTAAATGTTGATACCATCCTGATTCTTTAGGGATGAGTGCAGTTGTCAGTAAAGAACTGTCTTTTACTTTCTGTGCCCAAAAGTTTTTTTCCTTTTTATGTACCTAGGACATCTTTTCGTTTTATGTTACCAGGCATGAAAAGAGAACTGTTTCAGAGGACTGAAGCTTTGATACTGAAGCAGTATCTAAGCAGTATCTATACCAGAGAGGCCCTGAAAGTTACACTAGAAGGGGCCTGATTAAATGTTGATACCATCCTGATTCTTTAGGGATGAGTGCAGTTGTCAGTAAAGAACTGTCTTTTACTTTCTGCGCCCAAAAGTTTTTTTCCTTTTTATGTACCTAGAGGAGAAAGGGTTATTGGAGACACCTAACATGTTATTTCCCACTTTTCTTCCTAATTTTGGTCTGTATTAATCCATGTCAGAGCCTTCCATTTGCAAATGCAATTTACAAATCCAAATAAATTTCATCAAAGGTTAGGGTTAGGGTTAAGGACAAAGAGGAAACAGAAATTCAGTTGAATCTCTAGCTTCATGTGTACATGAAGATTCAAATGAAAAAACATTGCTTTAGGACCATTGCAATGTTGTTTAGTCAAATTGAGATAAAAGATATGTGTGGTATTATCTATCAATCTAATATCATTTAATCTAATCCAATTTAGGAATAGATACAATACCAAAGAATGAAAAGGACATCTGCATTGATCCTGACCCTCTAGGAAGCATTGATTCAGAAAAGTACATAATTTTCTGTCATCATACTTGGGGATAAAGGTCTGAACTGTTCTATGTAAATCACTGTAGGTATATTACTTTATGAGTTGCAATTGTTTGCTTAAAAACAGATGGTGCTCTGAGAATTCCAGAAGGTGTAATGTGAACCTAATAAATTTATTTTCTTTGTACAGGTGAAGTAGGCCAATTTATCTGAAAGGCACTCTGTATTCTGGAATGCCAGTTTCATGAGCGAGAACATCACATATTTGCTATGGGGTTTGTCCTGATGTACTGTTCAGTGACAGAGGTTTTGGGCTTTGCTTGATAATGAGGGTAGAAAACTATAAAATAACAGTTCCTTTTCTATTTTTTTTCTCCAGCAGGCCCATCTTTTTCAAGATCCCTGCTTCATACATAGGAAGACTGGTAGACCTAACGCGTTACTCTTCCAGGACTTTACTGTATCCTTGTCCATAGCAAAAAACTTTTAACCTTCTCTGCCAGGAGCCGTACCAAAGGAGAGAGGATGTAGAAAGGAATAAGTATTCTCCAGAGTTTGAATCACTTCAGATTAATTGTTGTTTTTGGTTTTTTTGGCCATCCTCAGAGGTTTTATTAAGTCCTCAAGGAAAAAACCTCAACCATCTCCTCCCCAAACAACCATTATTCTGGTCTATGAATAATGTAATGTAATTTTAAAAAAATACCCCAAAGACAAACCACAGCACCTGTCTTCTTGATATCTTCTGGACATGAGCTGCATTTGGGAATATACTTTGTACTGGAATTAAAGTTGTCATCTTTGAAATGTTTGCAGATCTTTCAGCATTGAAGGATTGCTATGTGTTTGCATATAATGCATACGAGATTACCAGATAATGCAAAGCATTTCCAGATCTGGGCTGATGTCCCCGCACCCATCCTTCACCTTTCTTGTCTTTCCTTCTGTGGAGAGTAAAAATAGATAGAGTGTACATAAAAGTATATAAAAAATACCCTGCTCAGATTTCCAGATGATTATTTGAACGGAAGGGAATATTAACTTGTAAATCTCACTTTTAAAATTAGATTATGACATGCTAAAGCCACTTCATTTGGTAGGTCTCAGTACCAGTCATCCTTTGAAGACGGCAGGGTTTGTAGTAGTGATCATGCTTCTGTGGGAAAAAAGATGGCCAAAACTACCTTGTTTTTTCACAATCCAGGCAGAGTGTATTTTAATAAATACAGACAATCTAAGCCTACTGGTTTCCTATTTTCTTTTAGACACGAGTTTCTGATCTGTCAGTTGTTTGTGACATTCAGCAGCACCCCAGAGCCAAGAATAGCACCAATGTTTCTCAGCAATGTTTCTGTTGTTTTATTGCTGCACCATAATTTGCTTCCATATGACAAGAAATACTTTTAGGTCAGATTCAAAGCTGAGTCAGAGTGATCTTGTGCAAATTTGTACCTGATTTATAAATCAACATCTTAGGAAGTCCTGTCTGGAAAACTATTTTGATGGACAGCAAGACAGATGGAAGCACATGCATCAGAAGGTGAAAAATAAAGAGCTGACTGTCCTAACATCTTTATTCTAAATGATCTTTTGCTCTCCACATTAGACCTTCTGCACATAAGCTGCTTGCAATTATAGCAAGGTTATCTGGCAATTTTGGTTCTTATAGTGATTTGTTACCACATTATCAACTTACATACATGTTTCAAGTGTGTTACATGTGTTTCTGGCACGGTGTAACACAGCTGCCCTCAGTAGCCGTGACCATTAGAACCTTTCTTTTGAAGAGCATATCAGAATCAGCAGTGCTGAAAATCGCTCATCCTTGGCAGAGGGTGAGCATTGTACTTGTGTAAACAGCACGGGACAGGCTTGAACCATTCTGAACAGAGGAATGGGCTGAATGTTGGAGTCTGGACCATATCAGGAGTGAGGCATTAAGAGAGGGTGGGCAAACAAACTTTCTGCTTGTGTTTGGTTTGCACCAGCTCTTGGTCACGCTGGTTTTTCAACTAGAAAATATTTTCTGCTGAATCGTGACTCCTGCCACAATGTGTTAACTATCCAAATCTAGTAAGCAAATTCCACACTGAGAGGGACTAGAAATACATGTATACTCCTTGTATTAGAGAAATTACTTTCATCTATATTACAACACTCACCCTTCAGCCAAACCAGGCTGCCACATAAAGGAAGGAGGTCAAGGGCTTCTCCTTTTTGGGCTACTTTTTTCCTATTCTTTTTGCTTTCTTTTGCCCTGTTGCCTCATCACAAATCAATATGGAATGAGACTGGTTTGCCGGACAGCAAGCTGGGACCTGATGAAAATAAACTGAATGAAGGTGGAAAGCAAAATATAGAGTGAAATTTCTTACATGCTGGAATAATTCAACTGTGTTAACCACGCTATTAGACCTCTCCAAAGAAAACAGTTGAAAAAGGCACCATGGCTTTCAGAATCCATTGTGACACACAGCAGAATACATAAAAAATAATATAAAAAGAACTTTTTTTGTTTTACTATATTAAACAAATGATAGTGGTGGAACAGCAGTTACTGCATTCACCTACTACATGAAGAGAGCTGTCATATCCCTGAGATAAATAAAACACCCACCCACTCAGCCTGAAATAGCCACAGGCCCACTTTTGAGCAACTGGTGACATGTGCTCTGTATGCATGACTATTCTGCAGTCAGGTTTCTTGTGTGCCATCATGATGCACATTAAAGATGGATGTCATAAAAGGATTAAGGGGGTCTGTGATCTGCATTGTTTTGTGCTGTATTTCCTAGCCCAAGGGATTAGTTGCTATAAACTGCTCAGGATCTCCACATTTTCCAGATGAGTCAGTGAAAAGAAAACAGTAATGAGAGCATCCAATATGAAACTCAGAAAGATGACTGAAGGCTGTGCTGACCTGCAAAACGAATGGTGCTGGTTGGCACTGTCAGAAACATCTAGCTCTGTAGAATCTTTTGTTTTTCCTGACAATGAAGTCTGTCATTCCTGAGTAACAACAGGCTCACACTTCCACAGCAAAAACGTACCATCATAGCACCTAGTTTCATTTCCAGTCAATCACAGTCAATTTGCTTCTCACTAAGCCATTCAGAAAGCTTCCTTAAACACACATTTTTCATCTTATTGCAAACCTATAGTATTTGTTTAAATAATTTAACTTTGAAGACAGGAAGATTTAGAAGCGACCCTCACAGGTGATGTTCTTTAAGTTGCTTGGAGCTGGCTACTGCATAAAGCAAGCTGCTGAGCTGGGTGTCAAGTCCCAATATCCCTAAAGATTAGTAGATGATCTGGGTCCCAAGTGCAAAATAAGCATTCAAATGTCATGTATTATTCAAAGCATCAGATATTTCAAGTATGAAAAGACATAGTTAGCTGCTTCTCTAACAAAAAGAGTTTCCTATCTTATGAGCTGGAGATGATTTAAACAATTTAGAAGTGATTTATAAATCACTTGGGGTGATTTAAACAGAACTCTCCACAGCTCTCCCACAGCTTTCCGAAATATATAAATAGTATTTTATCTATGCAGCCATTTGTAAAGAAAAAAATAATTTATGTTCAATAAAAAAAATTCATTTATTCATTATTTATAAGTCATCCTAATTTTACAGAACAATGAAAGTAAAATCAGAACAATATGCTTTTATTTACAATGAAATCTTTATAAATCCTTTCCCTGCTAAATTATATTTGATGGGATTTTTTAGCTGTTTCATGTGTACTTTCAGAATGCAGTCTGCTCAGAATGGTGAGTGACCTTCACCTAATTCAATAAGCTGTTCAACCACAGAGCATTGACAACTGCCTTTGTGAAACCCAGTATGAATTGACTTGTGAAAGTCAATTAGAATTCAGTATTTGGTTAGAGATTCTTACACAACAGCCAGATACCTCGCCAGTCAGACTGTCTCAACGTGGATGTGTGTATAATTATTCTACCCACAATTTCTTTATTTACCTTATCACAGAATGAGATCCCTACCAACTTGGGGACAAACTAAATCCATTGTGAACTCGTGTGCAGGATTCCTGCCTAATAAGCTTTGAGCTGCTTGTAAATAACTGTATTACAATGTGCCATAAACCCATAGCAGCAGAAGTAGTGTAAACTCATCTCAGTACTTCTGTTTCCTTTCTTCCTCAGGAATGAAGGATTGATTCCTCCACCCCTCCTTGCAATCCCTTGACACTGGCTACAGCTTCTCCCTGTAACATCTTATGGGCACATAACAAGCATGAGACAGCTGGCACAGGTACCAGCACTGCAACAAAAAGTGCATAGGAATTTTTGTTGCCTGGCAAGGAAGTTTCTCAAGATACCCAGCATCACCGCCCTGAAGCTGGCTGAGCCCCCGCTGACACACTTTGACAACGTAAGGCTCTGTGCCCCCGCCCAGGGCACTGGACGCTGCCTGGAAACTCTGTGCTCACTGCAGGTTTGGGCCTTTGCCCCAATGGGCTGTAGTAGTTGGTGCTTAGGAGTCTTCCTTTCTTTGCAGGACAACAGCCAGCTGCAGCTGCTCTCCATTCAGCTCTTCAGCCAGGTGATGGAGCTGGGAGTGGAAGAGGGGGAAGAGCCTCTGACAAGAATCCTGAGCCAGAGCCTGCTCCCTCTATTCCTGCGCTTGGCACGTGGCCAAGGTGAGGTTTTGTGGGATGCTGCCACATCCCTGGGAGGGAGCTAGGCCGCCTCCTGCCCTGGCGGGCTGCAGCCTCCCCCTGGCCTTGGCACAGGGACACGGGTCCTGTGCCCTGGGCTCTGGTGCCACCTGCGGCTCTCTGCTGCTCTCCAGGACCCTCGCGAAGCACTGCTTTGTGCCGCATGCTGCCCGAGGAGGACGGACCTGGAGGAGCTGCGGATGAAGTTCGCCCAGAGCCTGGTAAGGACAGCCCGGCAGCCCCAGCCGCAGGCTGGAGAAGCCCCCTGGCCCCAGTGCTCAGCGTGGGGGGCTGGCAGCTGTGCCCCTGCCCAGCGCCGCACCCGGGGCCGCCAGCCTGCGCCCCGCACGCCGCTCCCTGCCCTGGGCCGTGCGGGCCGGCTCGGCCGGTGCCCGGCTTGGGCAGCGCCCGGCCGAGGGGCAGAGCCTGCGCCGGGCCTTCCCTCCCAGCGCTCCCCGCAGCTGTTTCAGGACCAGAGCCCAGCGGCCGAGCACCTGCGCTCCGCCCTGCCGCGCCTGCAGAGCCCGCAGAGGCCCCTGCGAGAGACGGCCGTCAGCATCATCGGTGAGCCAGGAGCCCGGCGTCCCTCCCCGCCTCCCGGCCTGGCTGCTGCCCCGGTAGCCGGAGCCAAGCCCTGGCCGCTGCCGCCGCCCTCCCGCAGCCGAGCCCTCCCCGGGGCGGCAGCGTGCGGCAGGGGCCCGGCCCGAGCCCTGCCCGGGGAGGAGGGCGTGCGGCCCCGGGGCTGGCAGCGCCCGTGTCGGGCAGCTGTGCCGCCCGGGGCCGCCACCTGTGCCTCTGTGTTGCCAGGGGTGGCCGGAGCTCATGACGGGGCAGAAGGAGGAGCTCCAGGTCCTCGCTGAGGGTGAGTGAGGGCAGCTGCGAGCCAGCGGGGACCGCCGTGGGCAGCTGCACATGCCGGCCCCGCAGCTACAGTCCGTGCCCGGGCTGCCGAGGGCTCTGCTCCCTGTGCGGACGAGGGGCGGCGGGGGCAGAGCCCGGAGAGCTTTCAGGCACACGTGGGGGATCTGTGGCCAGCACCCTCCGGCCCAAGCCCGTGGCTGCCACTCCCTCCTGGCCATGGCAACAGCTGGCTGGGATGGCCCTGGCAGGAAGCTTTCCTTGCATTCCCTCAATCTGGCCTCTGGCCGTGACTCTGGTCCTCTCCCTTCCAGTTCCTGAAGCCGTCAGGGAAGATCAGAGCCCATCCTGCAGGAGCACACTGATCCAGGTTGCATTGGGAAGAAGATCTGAGCGACTTTCTCTGCTGGATCAGATAGACCGGAGTCCTTCGGCCATTTCCAGCTCCCATTGGAGATGGGAGCACCTGCACAGCAGAAGGAACCAGCTGGAGCTCCAGGCACAGCTCTAGCTGCTCACAGCTGAGCCTGTGGAAAGCTCCAGGAGCTCCTGCCAGCTCTCTCCCTGTTGGCATCTCCCTCCCTGCAGCCCTCAGGCCCTGTCCATCCCCCTTTTTACCTGCCAGCTCACCCCTTCCCTTCGCTTTACCTGAATAAACTGTTTGGCTTTTGCACGTTACCCGCGTCTCCGTGGAGCTGAAGCGGCGCAAAACCTGAGCCTGGGGACACGTGGGGCCCTGCTGCCCTTCTCTTCCGTGCTGCACTCTCTGCACGGACAGAGAGGAACAAGGGCAGCTCAGGCTGCAAAGCTCCCTATCCTGCTGCTCCAGTTGCACAGCGCCGTGGAGTTAAAGGTGGTGCTGAGCACGCTGAGGGGGACAGTGACCCTGGGTTTTACAAGACCCAGCTTGAGTCTGCTCTGAACCCAGCTGTGAGGGATTCCATGGCAGGCATCCACTGAGGGCAAAGGGGCTTGCAAAATGCTGGAAGTTTTCACAGAAAGCTTCCTGAAAGCACAGCAATGCTCCAGCCCTACACAGGGACAGGAAGAGGGCAGAACTAGAGATCATCGTGGCCTAGCAGTGAGCTCTGGCTGTGCCTAAAAGCAAATGAAGCAGCAGGTCGTTGTGTTTGTAGGTTGTCCCGTCCTATGATTCCAAAGTGACACATAGATACAGTGTTGGGGCAAGGAATGACATTGTAGGAAAGAAAAGGTAATGTATGTTATTTAGGGAAAGAAAACAGTAGCATTCCAAACTGATTTGTACTGAAAATGTGTTCAATTATAAAATCTAGCTCAGCTTGGTTAACTGGCCTGTGGGCTGACTGACCGACTCATAAGTAATAGAAGCTCTCCTAGAGTGGAGGCATTTTCTTAGTTCTGATAGACAAATGGGGTGTCATGACCCAGGAGTTTTGAAGTGACTGTATAAGAAAGCTCCAGATAATAATAGAGGCTGTTTGTTTGAGGAAACATGAATGGATTGTCTTGTGTTAGTTTTCAGACTATCGTGTCAGAATGTCTCCTGCAAGTACTGATAATAGCAGAGCACTATAGCACTTCGTTATAGTAGTGGAAGGTAAAATATATGGTCAGGTCTTAACACTAAATTAGATGTAACACTTTTTTGTCTTGAACGCAGTTTTCAGAAGATTAAGAGCTATAAATGCATTAGAGAATACCTGTTCTAGCTGTACTTTTAAAACAACCTTTCCATTGCTATTCGATGGTATGGTTGGAAACAGCTGAAGGAGAACATCTCCGTCCAAACATATTTCTTGGTGTTACAAATGAGTGTGATTTTCCAGTAGCTAGGTAACCAGAAACACTTCCCTTCAGCTTGTTGGCCTTTGGACTCTTTCATGTTAAGTAGAGAAAAAGTAAGAAAGAAGCAATTGGGTTAATATATGTCTGTGCTAAAGAGACATGTGCACAACTTTGTCTCCTCAAGGGTGGACCAGCCCCTGCAGTTAATAGGCACTGTGTAGGGGTCCTGAAGCCACTGAGACTTGCTTTGTTCTGTTGTCAGACCACTTTGGATTTCTCCTTGGGAAAGCCCTCATCGACAGTTTTGAGGCCATAAGTGGATTGAACTGCATTTTTAGTCATTGAAGTGCACAAGAAAATGCAACTAGATCCTCAGTTTTACCTTGAAAAATGAAATGCTTTGAAGTGTAGGATTTGCTTCACTGCAACAATGTAAGAACTGTGTTTGCTGGGTTTTAATTTGGTATTTATTGTCCGAAGCTCTTTTATCTTGCCAGATTTCCAGAGGACATTTACTTTCAAATCTCTAGGGAAATCCAGATTTCCAGAGGACACTTATTTTCAAATATCTGAGGAAAAGGAGCTAATTTTCTATTCTAAACTCATTGAATGGCAACTGAACATAATTCTGTGGTTTTGCCACTGACATTACCTGATGAAATAATAATGGTTATTTTTAATAAGAACAGAGGAGATTTTTTCATCTGCAATGAGAACCAGAATAATTCCATCATATCTGTCCTTGAAATTCTGAATTGTTTTGCAGAGAAAAAGATGCAAGTGATTCCAGAGATTTCTAAATATTGTGCTAGGAAGGGAAGATGTTCACAGCAATAGTATGTGGTGAGATTTTAATGGGATGTATTGTTTCATGCGATACCTTTTAGTTGTATTTTAGTAAAGACTTCAAAAAGTGTTTGAAGGACCTCTCTGCATATATATATTTCACCCCTCTTAACTGCAGAGATAATGAACCTGCTTCTATTACTTCCATGTACTAATTTGCCATCTTTAAAACAACATTTACGCCATCAATAACATTAGATACCAACAGAAACATTGGCTTGGAAATAAATTAATGAAAATAAATTCACCAGGCTGGGAGTGCAGCTGGGCACACACAGGGGAGCAGCAAGGGCTGCAGACAGCGAGGATATTTGGAGCTGTGTGTGGAAGGGGGAGGATCGCAGCTGTGCGAGTGGGGGAGCTGGTCACTGCCCCTACATAAGTGCATGGAGTGGCACAGCTCCGTGTGTGGGGACACCACTCACCACGGCCAAAACACCTGCACACTTCACTGTTGCTGCCTGCAGGAGCTGGCACAAGCCCCTGGTGCAGCAGTGAGAGAGGCTGCCTGCCCAAACTACGCCCCAAAGGGATTCTTTTGAACTGGGGACCCAGTAAGGTTTCAGAGTCTATCTGCACAAAATGCAAAGCCAGCCACCATCATTCTTGTCACAGCAGCCTTACAAACAGGGCCCTGCTCTGCCTCTCCTGCCATCCTGCCAGCAGTCTGTTCCAACTTACAATATGCCCCAGTGTGTGTGATGATCTGGTATTTGAGTTTATTGACAGTAGGAAACATTGTGGTCTTCCACACTGAGCTTCTGAAGCCTCACAGCTTTTATTTAAATGATCTTCCATTGTTTTCAAATAATTTCAGTGCATAAGTCTTCTGTTGCCAGACTGAGAGCTAGATAGTTCATCTTACATAGTTGAAGGAGTTCTCACATTTCCACATGGTTTGGCTACTGAAGATTGGAATCTGTGCCCTACTTCCTTATCTTATAACACGCTCTATAGAACATATTCTTAGGTTTGCTGATTTTCTTTGGCCTATGGAGCAAGCAGTCAGATAAAATTCTAACTTGGACCAAGAGCACTGCAGTGGATGGATTCAAAGAAACAATTTCTTTCAAACTTCAGGTTGAATGCAAAATTAAATTTCTATCTTAGAATCCTTTGCAATGTGAGTGAAATGAACGGTATCCTCTTGCACATGCAGAATGATACAGACACAAAAATGATGCATTTTCCTAGCAGCAGTTAAGTGATGAGCAACAAGTAACAAACAGCAGCAAATAAAGCCCCACATATATTACATCCCTTTTTCCCCGTGAATATGCCCATGGCTGAAGCCTTAGGATGGTCCACTGCAAAGAAATTAACAATGAGATTGCATAAAAGACAGCTCAGCTATTTGACAAAACACGGGCCAATTTAGCATAAGTTTGATAACAACAATGCAACTGCTGTAAGATACACTATGTGACACTAAATGGCTTGACCCTGCTTAGTCTTGCCTTCCATAGCTCTTGCTCTAATCTTTGGACAAAGGAACCTGTTTTATCTGAATTATTATCTTTAATTACATAAACAGTAGCAAAAGAAAGGATTCACACTCAATGGTTTACCACTGGAACCAGATAAGAAAATGCATGGAGAAATTCTTTGTAGCTATAAAGCAATGCATAGCATACCTCTCATTTTAGGAATCAGCTTTTTCTTACTGACTTTGCCTTGAACCAAACCGAAATTCTGAAGAAGGCTGAAATGGTCAGTTGAAATCTTCCATTTTTAGTAACCCTTTTTTTTCCTAAGTGTTGGGAAAGGAAGTCAGGGTGTCAGCCTTTGAGAGCCTGGCACTGCAGCAGAAAGTTGTCACCCGTGTAGTGGATGGCAAGAGGTAATTTAAATGGCAATTACTGTACCACAGCCAACCATGCCAGCCTTCACAAGTCAGGCTTAGGGGCCCTGAGAACACGGATTTCCCCTGTGTGGAAACCAAGCTCAGGCAATCTCATCCCTATCACATCCCCAACCCTACAGAGCTTCCAGGCAGGCAGGTACTCCTTTCCCTTCTCTTTAGGGAGGGGAAGGAGGCAGCTGGACTGCTTGTTTATACCTCTGCCATCACATTAACAATTTTTTGGCATTTAATGTGGCTAGCTAGCAAATGCAATGGGAATGCCCCCCTGTTGTTTGGGGAGGGCCTCATTGTCTTGCAACTTCTCTGGATTTTCTGGCTACAAAAAAGAAAGAGAGAGAAAATAACCAAAACAGCAAAAGAAAAAAAAAAAGGAAATGAAAAAGAAAGGAAGAGTAAAACAAAGAATATTGGAAAAGGGGAAAAGCAAAGGCAAATCTGTTTCTCTGAACTTTTCATTTCTCTGTAGAGCCAGATCTGCTGCAAGTTAGCAGAAGGTGTTGCAAAGCTCTAGCAAATCAACAGAACTGGTATATTTTTTATTTAATTGCTCATTAAAAAAAGCAATAGAAATAGTTTGTCTGGTACTTTGTTCCCAGTCTGGCTGTCTTCATGTAAGCATTTTCCAAGGAATCAAAAGATTAAATGTACTTTCCTTGTAACTGAGCAGACAAGCAACACATCTAACACTCACTGTTACACTATTAACCACCACCACATATATGTAGGGTTTTCTATGTTACTTTATTACCTATTCTTAACAATCACTGGTTTCTAACTGAAAAGTCCCTGTTGTTTTTTAAAGTAATTTTTAATTTTTTCATTGTATTACCATACTGTCTTTTTATGGCTATTATTTTGTGTGTTATTGGGCAAACTACCCTGAACCCTGGAGCATGCTGTGACTTCCACTGACAGGAATCCTGGAGGGAACCTCAGAGCCCCAGTGATGGATGTGGAAGCTCCAGGGCACTGAACAGGGCGCCCGTGGCCTGCAGGGTGCTGTGCCCCCCCAGCACCGCCTGCCCTGGAGCAGGAACAGCACAGCCACAGAGAGTTCAGCCCATATTGCTGCCCTGAGCACTGGGGAAATGTGTGTCTGCCACTGCTGACTGAAAATTAGGGTAATCAACTGCACCGTGCATTTCTGCTCTTCTAATATACACGGCTAATTACATTGAGCTATAATCACCTAATGCTAATTTCGACATGATACGGTGAATGAAGTTACATAGAATTTAACGCTGGCTTAAGGTACTTGGAAGATCTGTTTCCTGGGGAATCAATAAGAAGAAGAATCATTTACTCAAGGAGATACATACATTATACATACATACATACATACATACATACATATATATATATATAAAAGAAGATAAAATAATTTCTTCCTGCTTTAAGATGGAGATTGGTACAGATTTCACCAATGTCAGCTACATATT